GATGCTGTGAGAAAGCCAAGATGGAGAGTCAGGGTATTCCTGTTTTCTGCACAAGCATGTTAAAAATGGCTGTGTTTTTATCAGCAAACACAGCCTGGAGATGCAGGAACTGCAGAATTTACTGTTTGGTTCAAAATACATTTTAAAGTAGTCAAAGTTCACTACTGAGTTTGTTTGTGATGGTTTTAGTCTGGCTTAGCCACTGATTTGGTTTGATAAATCACTTTGCACAATGGAAGGTTTATGAAGAAGTTAAGGGAATGATTACTCATCAGATTCAAAGCATTAACCACAGTAATTTATCCTGACTTTAGAAATCATTATGAATTTGAAAAACAAACTGAAAACAACAAAAACCACGTAAAAAACAACCCCAAACCTCATTGGTTTAGAAGATCCAAAGGAGACAAAGCACTGGTGAGAGATCAGGACACCTTTAAAATTTTCTTTAGGAGAGTTAGAACAAATTAAAATAAACCAAATTTCTTCTCTTCCTTCCCATGAAACTGAAATTCAGGTTGAAACAGGATATTTGTATTAAAAAACCCTTTAAATACGGTGATACTTGTGTCATTCCTGTGAGAAGTATGAAGTGGAGAAAGAAAAGGCTGGTGGTTCCATTTCCTTTGGTTGCCATCCTAATGCAGATGCTGTGAGAAATCCAAGATGGAGAGTCAGGGTATTCCTGTTTTCTGCACAAGCATGTTAAAAATGGCTGTGTTTTTATCAGCAAACACAGCCTGGAGATGCAGGAACTGCAGAATTTACTGTTTGGTTCAAAATACATTTTAAAGTAGTCAAAGTTCACTACTGAGCTTGTTTGTGATGGTTTTAGTCTGGCTTAGCCACTGATTTGGTTTGATAAATCACTTTGCACAATGGAAGGTTTATGAAGAAGTTAAGGGAATGATTACTCATCAGATTCAAAGCATTAACCACAGTAATTTATCCTGACTTTAGAAATCATTATGAATTTGAAAAACAAACTGAAAACAACAAAAACCACGTAAAAAACAACCCCAAACCTCATTGGTTTAGAAGATCCAAAGGAGACAAAGCACTGGTGAGAGATCAGGACACCTTTAAAATTTTCTTTAGGAGAGTTAGAACAAATTAAAATAAACCAAATTTCTTCTCTTCCTTCCCATGAAACTGAAATTCAGATTGAAACAGGATATTTGTATTAAAAAACCCTTTAAATACGGTGATACTTGTGTCATTCCTGTGAGAAGTATGAAGTGGAGAAAGAAAAGGGTTTTAAAAGTCTGGAGACTCCAAAAATATTGTGGTGCCATGATTAACTGGAAGGAGTAAGATGCTGATAATACAGTTCAAATAAACAGAATATTTATAATTTGGGAAATAATCCAGGTAGTGCTGCTATGCAATGATTGATCTTCAAGGCCAGGTTGGACAGGGCTTGGAACAACCTGGGCTAGTGCAAGGTGACCCTGCCCGTGGGTCATCACTGGAGGATCCATAAGGTCCCTTCCAAGCCAAGCTGTGGATTTCATGATAAATTCCTGGGTTTCACTTCAGAGATCCTGAGCCTGGACGATTATCTGTTGTGAGAACAGGCTCCCACCTCGAGCCCTCTCCTTGCAACAGATCAGCTCCCTGCAGCCTTATTTTGGCTAAAATTCACCTGTTTCCTCACATCTCAGGGCGCTTTTTGCTTGATCAGATTTTATCTCCCAGACCAAAATTTCCAGGGAGAAATAAACCCAGTGTTAGTGTGGAAGACGGGAATAATTTACCTTCACAAAGAGCATTAAAACTTGACCAAAAAATTTGCTGTTTGAAGTCTTCATTCACAGGAACACCAAGCGGCTTGTCACTGCCCAGCCCTGGAGGAGGAGATTTCCATTGGGAGTGGATGACTTTGGAAGCAGCTCCTTAAAGAGGAGACCTGCATTGGTAAATAAACACCATTAGTTAAAACAACTCAATTAGTTTCAGGAAGTTAAATGTCAGCTTAAGGATTTATTTACCACTATACATATATAATTAAATATATGAACATTTTACTACATAAAAAAGTTAATATAGAGGTTTAATTTATATATGCAGTTAGAGATGTAATTACTTAATACATATAAATATTTTCCTAATATATATAATTTTATTTTATACATTGTATGTAATTACATACATTTAAATGTATATTTTGGAATATATAAATAATTTCCTGGGATCACAGGGAATTAAAAAGAACTAGTGCAAGAAATGGAGATTCAGGAATTGAGAGACAGCCTGGGGTTTAGAGAAGTGTTGCAATTGCCAATCAAGGTGAAGGGAAAACTCTGCAGGAACTTTCCTGCTGCAATTTATTTTTACATTTTCTGGTGATAACGATGAGCTGAATTTAAGACTTTTAGGTTCAGATTGACCCTTCCATCAATTTGCCCAGAGTCTGCCTCCTAATTCTGCTGATATGAGGAACATTCATCTAAAATTTGAGCTAGGAATGAAGGTTCAGATGTACTGGAATACGTGTTTTGCAATCAGGAGGAACCTTTGCAATTTCCTGGAGTTATTTGTTATTACATCCTTCTGCAAACATTTGGGAAGAACAATTTTCCCCAACCAGCAAAAAATTGTCTCAAAACCACTTAAAATTTCATCCTCTCTGATTGTTAAGATACTCACAGGTCCTTGAGCTGGAGTCCACAAGCTCCATCAGTCTGGCCAAAACCAGGAAGTTTTCTGTTTCCATCCTCTAATGTGGCTGGAATATTTAAGTTTTACCCCATCCCCACACGACCAATTACCACAGGGTCTCTGAGGCACCTGAACACACAATGAGCCTTCTCCAGAGGCCCTGGGATCCATCCCGACGTTCCTCCCTGGAGTTTTAGGGATGGGATGCCCGCAGCACATCAGAATTGATGCCTGCAGAGCCTGGCAGATGCCATTTGTGAACACAACACTGCCAGGAGGAAACATCAAAAAAAGGATTTTGGCTTGAATTTGAAAGATTTTTACATTCTTCTCTAATTCATATTATTCTTCTCACCCTGCCAAAGAAGCTTTTCCTTCCCTGTTCCTCCAGCTCTCAGTCAGAGGTTCACTGCAGGAAGTCACTCATCGATGGCTCGTCTCCACCTTGGTGGCCACCACAGCCTCCACAGCTGCTCTCCTGTCCCCGTGTCTGGGACAATTATTCCCCATGGGCAATGCTCAGCATTTTCCCTTTTCCAAGCTTACCTGGTTCCCATCTGCCCATTTTTGACCAGGAAACCTCATTTTCAAAAGCCATTTTGCAATGTGTGCGTCAAAGTGGGTTCAGGAGACTCATGGGGAGTAAACTGTACCAGCCAGAGAATCCTGGGATGGCTGGGGCTGGAAGGGAGCTTCAAGCTCATCTCATTCCAATGCCCTGCCGTGGGCAGGGACACAGGATGACTCCTGAGAAATGTGTGTCCACCACCAGGAGCAAACATCAATGCTGGACGTTCCATCTCCTTCCCACATGGCGGCTCCAGCTCCTCTCATGCATGGTCAGGTGCTGTTCCCACAGAAGCTGGACACAGTTCACCCTTATTTCCCCAATCCCCATTTGTACAACAACCCAAAACCTTTTGGTTTTGAGAGCAGCAGCTCCAGCACAAAACCACAACATGCACAGTGACAGTGCCACGGCCAGAGACTCAGGGTTTAATTCACTAAGGGCACACATTCCTGTTTAAAGGTCAGGTGATGGCCAAGGCAAGACCAGTTGGACAAAGAAATTAAAGCCATGAAATGCTTTTTCAAAATATTATCAAAATATCGAATATTTTGATAATATTTTTCATATTGCCAAACAATGGCTGTAAGCCCCTGGAGCAAAGAGAGTTGCTCTGGGGCTTATGTTTTAAATGCCTTAATGTTATAATCAATTAAAAATTATGGGGGGTTTATGTTTTAAATAAAACATTTTAAAAAATCTTTAGTCCTATTTAAAGAAAAAATGTACAATTTTGTCTGCACCTAAATTAAACCATGTCCTGAGGGTGGCAGGGAGGAGCAGAAGGGTGGGAGAACAGCAGGAGTTACACAAAAAGGTCCCAGTTCATGGTCCTGATCACAGAGTCATAGAAATGGTTAGGTTGGAAAAATCCTCTGGGCTCCTCAAGTCCACCATTCCCACAGCAGTGCCAAGGTCACCGCTAATCCATAACTCCCCAGGTGCTACAACCACACACCTTTTAAATCCCTCCAGGAATGGGTATTCCACCACTGCCCTGGCAACCTGTTCCAGGGCTGGACAGCCCTTTCCATAAAGGAATTTTCCCTTTCCAACCTAAACCTCCCCTGGTGCAACTTGAGGATGATGTCTCCACATCTGTGGATGTGTGAGTTGAGGCCCTTTGGGGCCTGCCATGGGGGCTCAGCACAGCTGAGGAAAGATGAACAGGAGCATAAACAGCTCAGGGGGATTTAGCCAGGCAGCCAGACTAAATAATAACCAGGGAATTTTTGGTAAGATTTGGGAAAAAAAGGATTCAGCTGAGTGACCCTGAGTGCCTGTGAGTTTTGTGTCATCAATAAAGCAGCAAACTACCTTGATTCTGGCTTGATTTAATCCAGCTGAGCAGCTTCTCCTCCATCCCAAGTTGTTCTGAGTCTCTAGGAGAGTCTCATCACTCTGGATTTCACCATGGACCGGATTTCACCATGGACCTGGCACTGATTGGAGGGTTTCGGGTTTTTTCATATATATGCAATGCTTTAACACCAAATGTGTCACAGAATTCTGGAATAGTTTGGGTTGGAAGGGACCTCAAAGCTCATTCAGTTCCAACCTCCTGCTGTGGGCAGGGACACCTTCCACTAGACCAGGCTGCTCCAAGCCTCATCCAAACACCAAAACTGGAGTGAAATTGTTATTTTCAGCTGATATCATCTAAATCAAAGTGCAGAAGGCCCCAAAAATGTCTCTCTTCATATTTCACAAAAATCCCAGCATATCACCCACATCTCCATTGTATCTGGCCACAACATTAAAATGTCCAAGCTCATTTTATTTTCCTGAGTCTCCTCCAAGCCTCCTTCACCTCCTGGTTCCTCAGGCTGTAGATCAAGGGGTTCAGCATGGGGGTCACCACAGTGTAGAGCACAGCAGCCCATTTATCTCCTCCCCTGGAGGTGTCTGACCTGGGGATTAAGTACATGAAAATCAGTGCCCCATAGAAGGTGCTGAGGGCAGTGAGGTGGGAGGCACAGGTGGAGAAGGCTTTGCGCTTGCCCTCAGCTGAGCTGATGCTCAGGATGCTGGAGATGATGGCCACATAGGACACCAGGACCACCAGCATGCTGGGAACACCGAGCAAAGATGAAAAAGTCCTTAGGATGATGAGGCTGAGGGTGGTGTCAGAGGTGGAGAGCGAGATCAGCATGGAAATGTCACAGAAGAACAGATCGATGGTGCTGGAGCTGCAGAAGAACAAGCTGGACATGCCAATGGTTTGTCCCACGCCGTTGGTCAGCCCCAGGAGGTAGGAGCCGGTCACCAGGCGGGAGCAGCGCTCTGGGGACATGACAAGGGGGTAGAGCAGGGGGTGGCAAATGGCCACGTATCGGTCATAGGCCATTGTAGCCAGTAGGAAACACTCAGTGACCAGAAACAGGCCAAAAGTGAATATCTGAGCCATGCACCCAGCATAGGTGATTCCCTTGGTCCCCAACAAAACCCCAGCCAACATCCTGGGGGTGATGATGGTGGAAGTGCAGAGGTTCACAAAAGCCAGGTTGCCCAGGAAATAATACATGGGGGAATGGAGCAGGGGACTGGCTCTGATCAAGGTGATCATCCCCAAGTTCCCCAGGATGGTGACAAGGTAGGTGAGCAGGAACAGCAGGAAGAGGGTGACCTGAGTTGCCAGGTCCTCGGTGAATCCTGCCAAGCTGAACTCATTTGCTTGGGTGCAATTGCTTCCTGGCATTCCTTCAAAGTGTGTTGTGTGTGTCAACTCCTTGCTAGAGGTTTCCTCCAGCTGGAAAACCCTCTTTGCAGTGGGATCTGTTTGGAGACAACCCTACGAGATCTAAAACAAGAGTTTAGGTACAGATTGGTTAGACAGTGCTGGGTGGAAGTCATGGCATGGGTAGGGAGAAGCTGTAGCTTACACAACCCTGAGGAGCTTTACCTTGGTGCTGCCTTCAATCCCCTGTGTGTCTTCAGTCTGGGACTTGGAAATCATCCAGCACAACCTGAAACACAGAGAAACCCAATAAAAGCTGTAAAAGACAGCACAGAATTGATTACTCTTCCTTGTGTTGGCATCTGCCAACCACCTACTTTGTCTGTCTTCTCCATAGAATCCTGTAAGGGTTTGGGTTGGATGGGATCTTGAAGACCATCCCATTGCACCCCCTGCCATGGGCAGGAGCACCTTCCACTAGACCAGATTGTTCCAAGCCCTGTCCAATGTGGTCTTGAACACTTCCAGAGAAGGGGCACCCAAAACTTCCTGACTATGGAGTCTCCCCTCCCTCCTGATGCACTGGTTTGGCTCTAAAAGATTTTCCCAGCTCTTTATTCTGTTCCTGCAGTCTTCAAACAAAAACATGCAACACCCAAAGCTCAGCAATCTCCTCCTGAAAATATTTCTTTTTGGGGGAAAAAAAATTAAAAATCACCTTTTGGACATGCCTTATATCAGCAATAGTAAGATCCATAAGTATTCCTTACAGGAAAGCTGCCAGTCCTCATCCAGGAGCCCTCTGTGGTCAGTGAGAAGTACCCAGAGGGAGTGTTCCAATGGGGTGTCCTCACCACACACCTGCAGCAGATCACCTGGATTTGGTGCTAAGCCCAGAGTACAATAAGGAACTGGAGTCCAGGAGCCTCCAGGTAGGAGCTGAGATGAAGAAGCTGTTTCTTCTTTGCAAGGAAAAATGACAGGGCATGGGTGGCTCAGCATGTGCTGTCCTTACTCGTGGTTCTCCAGGATGATCTTCCCCTACATCACTGCAGTCTCCCTGCTTCCCTCCTGATGCTCTTCAGGGTGGATATTAAGGTGCTCTGCAGGTGAATTTAAAAATATACCATCAGCAAAGACATTTTTCCATGTAATTTGGGGATTTAGAGGATCTTGCAGCCCCAGGAGAGTGACAAAGCCCAAAGCAGGTTGTTATTGCTTCTCTGAGCTTCTGAGTTTGGAGATGATTACACAGAGGAGATTATCTCAATTTGAGTAAGCCACAGGGCTTTGGGGACTCCCCAAAGCAACCACAGTTCAAAACTCCACCTGTTGTGTCAAACTTTTGAGCATTCCAGAGATTTCAGCTCTACAAATGCCGTGTTTGGTGTTATAACACCAAACATGGTGAGCTGAGGGATATCTCACTGGTGGGGCACAGTCCCATGGGAGTGGGTATCCATCAGCAGTTCCAGTCACCAGAGGTGATGAACCGCCTTTCTGCCTGCTCTAAATTCCTTAGACCCAAACCACTGCTCACCTGTACCATCCCTGGAAGTGTTCAAGGTCAGGTTGGAGGGATCTGGTCTAGTGGAAGGTGCCCATGGCAGGGGGATGGAACAAGATGAGCTTTAAGGTCCTTCCCAGCCCAAACCATTCCAGGATTCTATGAAGTTTGGCTGCAAGAATCCAGGAGAACCACAGAATATGCTGAGTTGGAAGGGATCCACAAGGATCATCAAGTCCAGCTCTCAGCCCTGCACAAACCCATCCCCAAAAGTCACAGCATGTACCCAAGAGCATTGTTTAAATGTTTGTTGAGCTCTGTCAGACTTGCTGCTCTGACCACTGGTCTGGGGAGTCAGTCCAACCACCCTCTGGGTGAGGATCATTTTTCAAATACCCAGCTTAAACCTCCCCTGACAGAACTTCAGGCCATTCCCTCAGGCACTGTCACTGGTCACTAGGACAGAGAAGACATCAATGTCTACCCCTCTTCTTCCCCTTGTGAGGAAGTTGCAGGCTGCAAGGAAGTCTGCCTTCAGCCTCTACACAGAAAGCACCTCTGGCACTTCAATGAAATCAGTTTTTATCATTGTGAAGATACAGTGAATAAACCAAGGGCACATAAATAAACCTTTCTCCATAAGGACAGCCCCAGGGAATACACAGTTTTTCCTATGCCTCTTCAAACTATATACAATATACAAGCAATATACATAGTCTAAACCATTATTCAATTACCTTCTAATTTCTAACCCCCTTGTCTCAAAACAAACCAGCAGCCAGTTTTTGAGAAAAGACTCCAGACTCTTGTCTCCCTCTCTGGCTCTAAAACACTTGCAGGGGCTTTGGAGTTCATACAAGCTTGTCAGGATTTGGGTATTTCATTTAAATTCCATTCATATTCCATTCCATTCCATAGGAGGAGGCACCTCCACTCACATTTTAGTTTTAAGCCCTCTACCACTGATAAATTTGGATGTTTGGTTAGGAACACCCCACCTCTGCTTCTTTAGGCAACTTGTTTCCTCTCAAATTTATACTCCCAAATTTAGACGATTTAGTAAAGAAATAATTTTAAAAATTTTCCAGGAATAAAAAGGGAAGCATCAAACATAAAAGAATCATTCCCATGTCCAGCAAATCATTATTAAGTGGAAGCCTATTCCCTCATCTCTGTCTTTCTTCTTCTTTCCTGGAAATCCTTAGGATCCCACAATTTCTCAGAGACATCTACTGGGATTACTGTAGGATTTGCTCTGTCAGAAATCCGGAGAGATTTACAACATTTGGTCCTCTGCATCTTTATCCTTTCACCAGGTTTCTAGAATGGTGTTGTTGGAGAAGTTTGGAATTACTATAAGTGGATCACCTTCACAGTTGTTCCCTTCTATTTTTCAACTATTTCCAAATTCTTGGAATTACTCTCAAATACACCCAAGAAATTTCCTGTGAAAACACAAATCAGAGGAACATCCTAAATAGAGAAAACCGCCTCCAGCAGCAGCTGGAATGATCCCATTGCTGTTCTTACCTGCTCTCCAGGGGCTCCTGCCAGAGCTCCCAACATCCATTGCCATTCCTAAACAGGAGCTATGGAAGACATTCCTGCTGTCCATGAGGGTGAGGAGGCAGTTTGGGATGTTCTTTGCTGTGCAATCAGACAAGAGAGTGTCAATGACCTTGTGGTCCCTCCCAAGCCAAAGCAGCCCCTGATTCCATGGTGCAATCAGCACCTCTCCCAGCTCCATTCCAGAAACATCCAACCACTAACCCAGGACTTTCCTTGTTCTGCACCACATCAGGGATGTGCTGCCGAGTGCCCCGGGCAGGGAACGCCCCAGCCTTCCCTGTGGTGCTTTCCCTGGGACACCTCAGCACCCCCTGGGATGCTCCAGCATTCCCGGGGTGTCCCAGCATTCCCAGGGATGCCCCAGCATTCCCGGGGTCTCTCAGCATTCCCGGGATGCCCCAGCATTCCAGGGATGCCCCAGCATTCCTGGCCTGTCCCAGCATTCCCGGGGTGTCTCAGAGTTCCCAGGGATGTCTCAGCATTCCCAGGGATGCCCCAGCATTCCCGGGATGCCGCTCCCGCCGTCCCGGGCTGCAGTGGCGGGCGCTCCCCGCGGGGCGGCAGCACCGGCGCTCCCGGCCCGCCGGTCCCGGTGTCTCGGGGCGGCCGCGGCTTTAACCCGCCCGAGCCGGCGGGGCCGCGAACGCCGCGGGCAAAACCCCCGATCCCCTTGATTTCACCTCCAAGGCACAGGATCGCAGCATTCCTGAGCCGGAAGGGACCCACGGCGAGCACCGAGCCCAAATGCTGGCCCCGCACAGGACCCCAGGAATTCCCCGCTGTGCCCGGGAGCCGTGTCCAGACCCCGGCCCTTCCCCAGGATCCTGGAAACACAGCGGGGCTGGGAGAAGGATGACGACGGGCTTTTTTTATATATACCTCGTTATAGGATCGTTCTATAGATCCGTTCGGTGTCGTTATCGGTAACCCCACAACCAATATGTCCCTTGTACCTCGCCACCCATCCTCACACGGCGCTTTCACGGCGGCGGCTGAGCCAGCCCGAGCTGGTCCCTCCGGAGAGCAGCGACCACCTCATCCTTACCCCAAACTGTGCATTCTCTCCCCTGCACATTAATTCAGGTTTCACCCCAAAATGTTCGTTTTGGCCCCTACGGAATCCGCTCCAGAGCGCCGCCCCGGGCCCCGCTCGGCCGAGGCAGCTCCGGTGTCCCCTGCCCGCAGCTCCCGCGGCTGCCGCCTTCCCGCTCCGTGTCCCGGGACGGGACAGTGAGGCTTCCAGCCCAAACCATTCCAGGATGATTCCACCATCTCTCCCTGCATTAATTTCATACTGTTTCCTTTCAAATATAGATGATTAGTTAAAGGAAAAAAAAATCTAAAATTATTCCAGGAATAAAAAGGGGAGCTGTAAAACATACAAGAATCATTCCCATCAAATCATTATTAATTGGAAGCTTATTCCCTCATTTCTGTCCTTGTTTAGCTTTCCTGGAAATTCTTATGATCCTACAGTTGCTAAGTGTATTTCCCTCCCCAAAAAGGGATGGAAACATCCTGATGCGTTAGGGAAAGGATTTTTTTGTTATTCCAAGGAATGACAAGCAGAGAGATGGCCTTGGACACTAGGGATGGACACCCTCACCATTCCCTGTGCAGATGGGGCTGGGAATGCCGGAAGGAGCCGGGTGTGCCTCTAATTGCAGAGCGTGCCTTTAATCCCGGCCTAAGCCAGCTCAGCCTTGGAGCCTGTCCCAGCGCGGGGACAGGCCAGGACAGGTCTGCGCACATCCCGGCACCCAGGTGCCTCAGTCCCCGGCCTGTTCCACATGGCTGTCCGGCCATTCCAGACCGCCGATCCCGTTGCAGCAGGATCTCTCCCTCCCCTCCCACGCCCACAGTTTGCCCGTCCTGTGGCTAACTGGAGGCAAGTGTGGCAGCCGCGTCTGGCCGAGCAGCTCCCTGCAGGTGGCGGCGAGATGTG